GATATAAGCACCAGTGATTATGACATCATAAACCTGAAACGATTTTGCAGGATGAAAATCAGAACTTTATGGCGGGGTCTTGTTAATGGTGCATTTATCTATTACTGATATGACTCATTCGAAAGAGAAACGTACATATTGTAACAGTATTTGACCGAATGAAAACGAGTATCAAACTTCCATACTTATCCTTCCTGATATGATCTTAGCTGTTGTAAGCATGAAAAGCCACAAACAAACCAATTTCCCATAGATATATAAACAATAACTGTTTTTAAATATTTGAAAATGCATTGCTGGTTATTTAGCCTAACTGTAGCAGCATTCATTTGGCAAGTATGTATGAAAACAAAATTCTTCAATAAGTCTCGAAGTATCTTGCAACTTTACTAATATACATATTACTAAAAACTAAATCATACCGACTTTTGTTTTTTTGGAAATTGAAAATATATGGTTATCAGTATGATTAATTACGATATACACGTTTAGTTTTACGTTGAACCGCAAATGTCTTGATTGGTCTTGCGACTTCGTCATCTTCAAGCTTAAATATGTTTCCCCGGAAAAATAAAGTTGCATTTACTAATTCAAAACTGTAATTTGTAAATTTTGAGATTGCGCCTCAGGAAGAGCAGAGTGGAATTGGCCTTTTTTGTGATGTTATCGATATGAGTACTCCACTTTAGATCAGAAGTAATGGTGACACCAAGATATTTAGCCTCCGTCACATGCTCCAACTCGTGATCATGTAGTATTTAGGGATGACAGATGGGATGACTTTTCCTTGTGACAGCGATGACCTGGCATTTCTCAGGATCGAAACCCATCCTCCATTTAGTCTCCCAAAGCGCCAGTTTATCAAGGTCTCTTTGCACGATGTGGGCGTCTCTCTGAGATGTAACTGTCAGATACATGATGGTATTATCTGCAAAGAGTCTAATAGAAGATGTTATACCCTCAGTGATATCATTGATGTAGTATAAGAAAAGACTCGGCCCGAGGACCGAGCCTTGTGGGACCCTGATCTTACTAGGGCAGAATCGGACATTTCCCCCTCTACTACAATAGTCTTGGTTCTGCCATTTCGGAAGCCCTCAACCCAGGTATTGACAGGTCCAGTAATTCCATACCCCTTAAGTTTGTGGAAAAGGAGATAATAGCTCACCTAATCAAAGGCCTTACTAAAATCCAAAATCAATACATCTGTCTGTTTACCATCTTCTAAATTTCTTGAGATGTCATCAATAAATTCTAACAGTTGACTCTCACATGACCTAGATTGTCTAAAACCATTTTGTAAGAGGTAAAGAATGTTATTGTTATCAGTATGATTCATGATATTACGATATTACTTACTATAATGTGTTCCAACAACTTACGACAAATAAAAGTGAGAGATATGGGACGGTAGTTTTCAGGGTTAAATTTTTGGCCTTTTTTGTAAACTGCGGCAATATTAGCTGTTCTCCAGTCAGATGGAACATGACCGGTATCTAACGACCTTTGGAAGATGAGACAGAGAATGGTAGAGATTTCTGTTGCCAGTTTCATGCATGTTAGTATCAGATTGTATGTGATATACTTTTTGATTCAGAATGTGTATTAGATTTTATCTAAATAAACAATCAATAAAACATGAAGATTGTTTTCACTATATGAATATGTTCATTTATGGGTTGAAACACAGTTGTCTTTCCTTCAAGGATACACTTCCTATTTCCCCTCTGGATGTCTACTTCCGGCCGAACAAAAAATAAAGGCAGGGAGTAGCAAGGGGGAGCAACTCTGTTTACGCACGCATGTGTTACCATTAAAGAGCTTCGCTCGGGCGTCGAATGCGTCCGAGAGCTACGCTCTTATAAATATGTTCTGTAACTTTTCACAGGAACAATCTGTAAAACCCATGTCACCATGTAAAAATAGTGCAATTGTGTTGCTAATGATTACAAACTTAATAAAACCCGGTACGAATTTTGTGTAAGTTTATCAGAAATAGACTTGTGTGTTATAGGATCATAACAATATTTGCTAAGATATCCATTACTTATATTTTGATAGAGTAGTTATGCTTTATTTATTTATCTCGAACATTTTCTGATCAGCAAATTAAGTGTTGACAACCATGAAAATAGATGAGATCACAAACATGTTGATGACGTTACAATAGCAAATGTTGTTATAGTCTCATAACAACGTTTGCCTCCTCAATGCAATGCGATGGAAGGATGAACAGCAAATATAAATACAAGTGTATAACTGTATGTGCCGTTGTGTAAGACGGTTTGGTATCTACATACGCACAATAAACAAAACCACGTGGTATAGCATATGTCAGATTCATAAATAGGTTTTGGTTTTAAAGGGAAAACAGGTCGAGGTATTGGCATATACATGAGAAAAAAGTGACATTCTGGTGAAATCTTCTGTTGATAAAGAAGTCGACATTTTCCAAGGCCGCCATACTGAACATGGTCACAATTGCCACATAATCAGAGGCTCATTTTATTGCAGAGTTATCTTCTCTTGGGAGCAGGTACTGATTGTTACGTCACTTGTTTGTGAGAGTAACGTCATCATTTTTTGAGAAAACGACGTAATTTTCTCACACAATCCAATGACGTAACAATCAATTCCTGCTCCCAAGAGAAGATAACTCTGCAATACGCAAAGACGGAATAATGAAGACTAATTTTTAGCCGTTGACAGAGGCGTAAGTTGAGTATAAGGCACGCCAGCTATGGATGGGATTGGAGAGATCTGTTGACGTTGCTCCAATTAAGATTTATCTCCCTTGACGACGACACGTAAATATGTAAAGCCGTCTCGTTATTAATGAGAACGTAAACGCTATACTTTCTTTACACATACATATTTATTTGAAAAAGAGTTATCACGTTTCATGATAAAAGAAATAACCTCGGTATATATTACATATGAATTCAATTACACATGTTATTGGCTACATCAACATGTGTCCAGTCTGCAGTATGAAATATTTACAAAACTCCTGAGTAGACTAATTACAAAACACAATAAACAAATAAACACATGTCTTACTGTAAATTATTAAGATTTCGCGAGACACAAATATTCGCTTCAATTTCGATCGGAACTTTAAAAAGCTCCCAATCATTTTGTCGTTCATGTTTGATCAAATCACACAGAGACATACATGAAACAAATAAAATCCATACACACTCACACACATAAATACATACGTTTTGAGATGATCGTGAATTGGTGAACTTGACGCAAAATTTCAAGAAATAAAATCATTGCTTTTAACAAATTCGTCATCATTGAGTGATGTACAGTTTCTAAGGCACTTTGTCTGGATATAATCTTTATTCTGCAGTAGCTGAACGAAGCTACATTAGTTGGTGTAACAATGTTTCGTTAGAGCGTAAACATACATCAAAGTAGTTCGTCGCCATGAATGATTTCGGAAAAACATAATTCCGTCTGTATACAAAAATAAACTGAAAAAAGTACTGTGTATCCTTTAATCACAGATTAACATGAAATTTTCAACAGAAATAAAATAAATTAATTACGTGTTATCCTCATAATTAAATCATTTCACTCAGTTTTGTTTACTAACGGCGATATTTAAATTAAACAGATTCATATTGACAGTGTTCTTATCGTATTTAGTACAGTAAATGTAGATCGCAATAAGTTAGAAATGTCTTTCATTAAGTTGAGAAAAAAAAAATCACAGTTATGTTTTTTTTTACTGATATTAATAATTGATATCAAACGAAATTATTTTGCGATTCTCTATTATATCACTCAAAATCTAGCTATCCAGCAATAGCCTCTGTGTAGCAGTTGTCTCCCTTTTAATATTGTCCGTGTAACCGTTACAAACTAACGTGGAGACAGATCTAGAGTTAATAACGCTTTGATGAATTCCGCCTCCTAGGTTGGTTATTATTCTGTATATATATATGTATATACTTTTTGAACGTTTCATTCACGAGTAATATAATTGTTTTACTTTTATTAAGAACAATACGATTTACAAGCAACCAATATATAAACTTAATTCAACCTCTTTGCTCCTTTTGTAGTGATATAAATTGGACAGACACACATAAACTAGTGTTATAGGACGGAACTTGATTTCATGGCGTAATGAAAATGTGTAAAATGGCAGTTAGAAGGATTGCTACACTCATGCTTAGATCCATGTACATGACATTACGTATACTATTACAAACATCTAATCACTTTAATTAATTATCTCCAAATTACAATTAAAATGTGCCTACATTTGTTTGTAAGTTTAATTCTACAAACACACATCCATCAGTTATTAAATATATTTCCAGTATTTTCCGAAGATAATTTTCTGCAGAAATTCATTTGTTGACGATGCAAACTTTGTGAATGCTGTTTAATGCTACCAACTAAACACCTAGAGAGTATGGCTCTCTATAAAACAATGTTTAATGCTACCAACCAAACACCTAGAGAGTATGGCTCTCTATAAAACAATGTTTAATACAGTACCAAGTAGTAGAATATGCACATCTTCTCATCCAATTAAAGATGCAGATGTTTTGACACATATTGGACATAGATTCTATAACGTAGCCTACTTAAACAACACAGCTAACGCATCGAAGTTGTACCTCGTGGATAATTGACCTCAAATTTAAATATCTCACGAATATTAATGCAAACATATGACGCATGTGTTACGACGTTTCATTTATAAAATAGAAGTATTTGCAAAAATGAAATGAATTACAGCATTAACTTACATGTCAGTGTCACCACCAAAAAGATGTACTTTTCACAAAATGTATAAACAAACAAAAATGCACATATATATCAAGTTTTGTGAAGCTGCCCCACACTATCCTTACATACTTATACAGATATATACTTATATAGATATATACACATATAGATATATATACATATAGATATATACACATATAGATATATATACATATAGATATATACACATATAGATATATACACATATAGGTATATACACATAGAGATATAAACATATAGATATATACACATATAGATATATACGTTTTTGATTGTCTACGTAATGAACTGCGTCACAGCTTTTTTAGAAAAAAAACCATCTGTACACCTGAGCGGACGATATTCATATGACGTCATGTCTGCTATATGGCGTAAATTGCCATACATATTGCAGGACTTAAATGTCTTTGAAACATTCTGCTGTGACGTCATTTTTGTCCAAAATATGTATGACGTCACTGCCTGACACAAATATTGTTCAATTAACATATTGGTTCTCGTTACATATATCGTGTGGTATGGTATTATGACGTCATTGTGTAAAACATACAGCATGAGGTCGTATTGTCGCGTATAGAAATCCGGCATATATCTTTGTATTATGACTCACAGTTTCTCACTTAACGCACCACTTTTTACCATACTATGACGTCATATCCAATCCACCATGCGTGATTATAATGACATTTCCTCGTCACACAAATTGTATATGACGTCAATGTGTCCTATATACCACAAACAGTATAATATATGACGTCACATGGTCTCGCATTACGTAACCCTTTGTGCTAGAATTAAGATGTCCTTGTGTCAACATGTTGTGTGACGTCATAATGGTTCTAAAGATATACACCATTTGTTCTAACATGATGACGTCACTGTCTCTCATTCATGTTGTGGTGATATCATGACGTCATACAATAATCGAATTAATCACGATCCAATTAGTAGACCTGTGAAATCCGACCCACTCTGCACAACAGCATTTAGATTGGAGGCGTTGTCGACGTATACCGATGCATATTGACCGACCTGAAAAGAAAATCAAATATTTTTTTATTAAAAAGTAATATTGATGTTTCTTATTTATCAACGTCTTTTAGAAATTGTCTGGAAATAACTGATATCAAGATGAACAGATTTTGAAATTTGAAAGAAAAATAACTATAAGCAATATTTAACCATTGTAACAATAAAAAAAAAAAAAAATCCACAGAGTGTGCTAATCTGGGGGAAATGATAACATCCGTAAAAATAGAAAGTTCCGGGTAAACCGTTCGGAAGGAACTTCAGTCGTATTTATATCCAAATCTTTGTAAAGAGAGCGTTGATGTTTTTGCAAATTAGAATTAATATCAATCTTATATTAGATTTATATTACGTATGACGTTTTATGTTTAGATTATTTTAATCTTTTCTTATTTATTTTTTTATTTTTTTATATTTTCTAGGTAAAAGGAAAATTTAAACATACCTTTAGCTCCAAAAACCCTGTGAAACTAACAGTAAAAACCTTGCTGTTACTTTCCAATCCGGTATAATGTTTCAGAGACCTGGAATGTAAAAATGGAAAGTGTAAAGGGACTCGCTCTCAAAGACAAAATTATGTATTTTAGTGTGTCAACAAGGCAATCCTGTGTATTCAGATGACCTAGGAAAGAAGACACACACGCACGCACATGATAACAAAATTAGTTCTCTGGAAAAAGTAAACAATAATGATAAACATTACGAATACAAAAAGGATTCTCACTCATAAAATTCCCATTAGACAATAAAAACCTATATTTCCCATCAATAAGTATATGCAATAGACAATCGTTAACTTTGTTCATGAAAGACATGCAAGAGGTGTTTTTTATCCTTCTTTCGCTAAAACTAGAGAAATATGTTTTACCTCTTGCAGTTAGTTCTTGACAAGTGTCTCTGAAGTATGGCTTGTGAAATCTTATTAAAAAACTTGTTCAACTAACTGGCTTCCTAGTCCGAAAATGTCCTAAAGCCCCCGAATTTCGACCGGAAACATTATTGTCCCTCTGTATCAAAACTAACCACATATACAGTTTTCTTGCTACATTTTTCACGGGGTATGGGAGACAAACTTACGCAAAGTTTTGACATAAACTATCTATGCAGACTTGAGTGTTGATAGTATCTCGTTTTTTCAGGTTGCTCCGACGACTTTTCTTTTTGGCCCGAATGTGAAGGTTGAGTGAGAATTGATATATCCCGTCAGTGGGAGCCGCGAACCGACCACTCCGAGCGTTGAACGTGTCTCCTCTATGAAAGGCTCCGCCTGCAAAAGGCTGATAGAAACAAAAGTGGAACTTCATTATTATAAACCATGTCAGTTTTGTAAATTGAGCCATCGGTCGATGCCTCTAAATAGATATATTATTTCTAAACAGATGCATGATGGAAAAGAATCATATAACACTGTATATAGTTGAAAAAATAGGATTTGGTATTATGTTTCGGAACCCCGTACCATTGCCAAAACTGTAACTTATAAGTGATGTATGTAATAATTAAATGTCCTGTATATTGTAATTGCAAATTTACGAAATAAAATATGGTTTATACTCAGTGATGGAAACTGTGTTTTTTCGTGATAAATCAATTTTGAAAAACAAACCAAACTTTGCGGGACTTTTAATGCAAAATAATGAAAATAAAATAAACAAAATATAACCAACACCAATATTCTGGGTCAACGGACGTGTTCTGGCCTAACTGTGCTATACAGTTATATCCAAACAGAAGTTAAAGGAAGGTTACCGTACACAGGGAAAATCCTCGAATTTGAGAGCAGTTGGCCATTTTCAGTAATTTTAGTCAATATCAAAATTAACAGGGGCCATTCTATGTAAATTTAAAAGAAAAATGGAACATGGAGAGGTTAATGGCCCCGGCCCATGACCCCTCCAGTATCAATCACCTGTAGCACAACTACATTTCGATATGTAAGTAGGAGTTATCGCCCTTTATATATGCCGTGAACACCATACAATGGAATTTGTTAGCAAGTAACGGAGATGGTACAACACTCTGTTCCATAGCAATGGTAATAATTTGCATGTATATACATGTATCAAAGAATTAGGAAAAATAAGCGTGACGAAAAATTGTAAGTGTCAGATTTATCGGAATACCGTTGGCAAACTATTGTTTGATATAAAGAATGTTGTTTCCATTATGGTCATAAAATATTAAGGAAATAAAAGGTTAAAATACAAATGAATAAATAGAAATTAACGGGTATAAGAAATTTGACCGACCGAAATGAAACAGTCCTCGACTAAATGATAGAAAACCATGAATACGTTTATACATGATGTCGTATTTTTTCACTAATTCTGAAAATTGATATACAGTCTGTGCTTACTAAAGTCCCACATTCGCCGCTGTTTGCTTGTATACAGGTTTAAATTGTTGTTAGATACTTCAATTATAATCTCACTGCATAATTTTATGGACGGTATAAGAGCAAGGATTAGCGTCAGTGATTGACGACGGGGATCATGTTATGTTTTGAGGATCCCTGTCCCTCTGAGCTGTGTTTTGAGGATCCCTGTCCCACTGCGCTGCGTTTTGAGGATCCCTGTCCCACTGCGCTGTGTTTTGAGGATCCCTGTCCCACTGCGCTGTGTTTTGAGGATCACTGTCCCACTGAGCTGTGTTTTGAGGATCCCTGGCCCACTGCGCTGTGTTTTGAGGATCCCTGGCCCACTGCGCTGTGTTTTGAGGATCCCTGTCCCTCTGAGCTGTGTTTTGAGGATCCCTGTCCCACTGATCTGTGTTTTGAGGATCCCTGCCCCACTGCGCTGTGTTTTGAGGAGCCCTGTCCCACTGAGCTGTGTTTTGAGGATCCCTGCCACACTGCGCTGTGTTTTGAGGATCCCTGCCTCACTGCGCTGTGTTTTGAGGATCCCTGTCCCTCTGAGCTGTGTTTTGAGGATCCCTGCCCCACTGCGCTGTGTTTTTAGGATCCCTGTCCCACTGCGCTGTGGTTTGAGGATCCCTGTCCCACTGCGCTGTGGTTTGAGGATCCCTGTCCCACTGAGCTGTGGTTTGAGGATCCCTGCCCCACTGCGCTGTGTTTTGAGGAGCCCTGTCCCACTGAGCTGTGTTTTGAGGATCCCTGCCCCACTGCGCTGTGTTTTGAGGAGCCCTGTCCCACTGAGCTGTGTTTTGAGGATCCCTGTCCCACTGGGCTGTGTTTTGAGGATCCCTGTCCCACTGGGCTGTGTTTTGAGGATCCCTGTCCCACTGATCTGTGTTTTGAGGATCCCTGCCCCACTGCGCTGTGTTTTGAGGATCCCTGCCTCACTGCGCTGTGGTTTGAGGATCCCTGTCCCACTGAGCTGTGGTTTGAGGATCCCTGCCCCACTGCGCTGTGTTTTGAGGATCCCTGCCCCACTGCGCTGTGGTTTGAGGATCCCTGTCCCACTGCGCTGTGTTTTGAGGATCACTGTCCCACTGAGCTGTGTTTTGAGGATCCGTGTCCCACTGCGCTGTGTTTTGAGGATCCCTGCCTCACTGCGCTGTGGTTTGAGGATCCCTGTCCCACTGCGCTGTGGTTTGAGGATCCCTGGCCCACTGCGCTGTGTTTTGAGGATCCCTGGCTCACTGCGCTGTGTTTTGAGGATCCCTGTCCCTCTGAGCTGTGTTTTGAGGATCCCTGTCCCACTGATCTGTGTTTTGAGGATCCCTGCCCCACTGCGCTGTGTTTTGAGGATCCCTGTCCCTCTGAGCTGTGTTTTGAGGATCCCTGCCCCACTGCGCTGTGTTTTGAGGAGCCCTGTCCCACTGCGCTGTGTTTTGAGGATCACTGTCCCACTGAGCTGTGTTTTGAGGATCCGTGTCCCACTGCGCTGTGTTTTGAGGATCCCTGCCTCACTGCGCTGTGTTTTGAGGATCCCTGTCCCTCTGAGCTGTGTTTTGAGGATCCCTGTCCCACTGAGCTGTGTTTTGAGGATCCGTGTCCCACTGCGCTGTGTTTTGAGGATCCCTGTCCCACTGCACTGTGGGTGTTTTATACGCAGGAGAGTCCGATTAACTTCCGTTTAGATATAACTGTACAGCAATTAGGCCAGGATACTTCCGTCCGTCTAACAGGTAGCACAATCGGTTAGAGCGATGGCTAATCAGTCTCAAGTTCAGGGTTAGAAGCTATGTTTAGCCCCGCGGTGTTTTTATCATTCAGAACACTGTTACATACAGACTATATTTATCAACATAAATGTTCCAATATTTAAAATAAATAAATAAATAAATCAACAATTGCGTAATGGCTTAACTTTTCTATAGTTTTAGTGTATTGATAGCATTTTATTAGAAATGATTTATCAAAGCTATAGTCATGTCGGACAAAAAAGTTTCCGACACTAAGTTACAGTGTTTAGCAGTAGTACGAGGGTCCTTAAGGAAATGTAATAGCATTATTCCAAAAGTGACGTCACACATAACTAGTGGTTACCTGGTGAAATGTTTTAAGCTCCATAAACGTTTTTCCTGACACGACAATGTTTCTCCGAAGTCGCATGTGGAAGCCGACGGATATCCGGGGAACGTGTGAGAGGACTTCCGCTTCGTCCTGTGGGGCTCGGATTCTACTTCCGTTCACTGCCTCCTGGCACGCACTGCACTGGAAGCACAAATGCAACGAATCATATTATGTTTTTTACCCGAATTTGTCGCCAAACTCAGATATAAATGTCAACTTTGTTCAGTGTAGAAATGTATCGGGCCGCTGAACGTTACATGTACCACAGGCAAATGCGTCAGGTCAGTAATCCGGCGATTCTCCCTTCCCTCTTTTCTTAACTAGAGGGAAGGGAGAATCGCCGGATTACTGACCTGACGCATTTGCCTGTGCATGCACCCTCTGGTTTTGACGATTGGTCACTAAATGAGATTTTCTATAACACATTTAGGATGAACATGTACCATTAAATCTTTCACCCGTGAAATTTCAGAATGAACTATTTCAACCTTTGAATTGGAAGAGTTCAAATGTATCTTCAGGGGTGAATGAGTTAACTACCTTGCTTGTGTATATTAGAAACCTTTTAACTGTTACAGTATATAATATGTAAGTACAAAATCCAGAGAGCTTGTTAGGTAGGGGCTGTCCCATCACCTGCTCTCTGGATTGGCACATGTGATAGTTTGTTTTAATTTATTAATTTATTATGTATAATAGCTGTTCTTAACAAAAATATGATATGATCTATATATTTTTACAATAAGATGTTATGTAACTAAATGTTTTTATACTCTGTAATTATATACTTGTACGATGTAATTGTGATATATGACACTATAATAAACAAAATTGACTTGACTTGACTTGACTATTAGGCCAAAAACTAAATATGTATGTTTCAGGTTAAATTTGGTTTTGATACCAGCTTATGAAATAGAGAAGTGACATAAAGGCGCTTACAGTTTTCGGTGTGTTCGAAAGGGACATTAAAGTGCATTCAAGTGAGATAAAAACACAATTTTCCTGAATAACTATGTTTGGTGTGATTTTTGTAATTTTTCCAATTAGACCCCACCCCCGTATCGACTAGTCCGAATTATTCTAACGTTTTATCGATTTTTTTTTATAAAAAAAAATCGATATAACGTCAGAATAATTCGTACTACTTATTGACCCGCCCTATTTGTTCAGTCATATCAACCGAAACATACATTTTTTTGCCTTATACTAATGTTTATATTTATTCTAAGTATCTATTTCGTGTAAGTGAATGTAAAACTATATTAGCCGTATACCTTTTCACTGACCAGCTCATCTGCTCGCTTTTCAGCAGCCTCTGAAATAAATAAAACGTATTGATAAAGTAAAGAGAAAGGAAAATGGAAAAAAAGCTAGTTGTTTAGTTTTTATGTATTTTTTTGCTACCAGGAAAAAACATGCAAACATTTGTTTTATTTCATTTCACATATTCGCGAATATTTATTTATAGGTAATATAGACTACAAATACTTTGAAATCAGATATTTTCGTGGGCCCACATTTCGTGGTTTTCCCAACAAAATACAATTTCGTCGGTACATGAATACGAGTACCCACTCAAACAGAGAATTTCTTTATATCAAACTTGTAATTACTTCGTGGACCTATGGATTCATGGATGAAGATTACCGACGAAATCAATGAAATTTAAAAAAAAAAGTAAGAAAATAACTCATTTCATAATATACAGAATACAAATACTTTAGAACCCGTAACAACACGTAAATTTCCTCATCGCGATCAGTTCTAAAGAGTCGCAACGCAAACATTTGCACACGCGAAAGAAAGCAAGCATATCGAATAAAATATTTGGGTGAAGCATATCGAGAAATTTTCGCGAAGTCAAACTTTCGCCCTCAGCCCATGAAATACATTTTCGCATAGTGTTGATTTCGCCCTTCACATTTCATTATTACATGTATCTATATAATGCTGTTTTCATAAACTCGCTGTAATGAGGAATTCGCCCAAATCATGGAAGACAAAAAGGGCGAAAATTAAACTGCAGCGAAAAATTATCGGTACTAGTTGTAAGATTTTAAAAAAATGTCTCTTTTCGCTTACGTTTGTTTAATTCTTTATTTCCAAGTCGGTTCTGAACTTCCAAAGAGCATTTCGGTATATCGGTATATCGGTATTTACAATAGAAACATGTAACAACAGTCTCCTGGTCATACCAAGTGCTAACGTGTGTTGTATCTACAGTATGGTCTGGTACATACTTAGGTCGATGATGGAATGCGGGTTTGTTTGACATGGGTTTATATAAGCGTTTCGACGGGGCGGCATCTGTTGCCCTTTATTATAGAATTAACAGAAAAATATGCAAAAGTACACATAAACACATGTTCACTGATAAAACTGTTCAACTCCTCAAGGCACCGGATAAAGACACGTGGTGATTTGTTAACTTAACGCTATAATGACTAGTTTAGATTTATAACATATTATCACGTATTTAATTTCATTTAGCTAACATTGTTCGGTTTCTTCCTAGCACCCATAAGAACGTATTTGTTATCAAAAACACATGCTCATTAGTGAAAAACAAGAAAAAATAATACACTCTACAGTTCAATTAAAGCATGTTTTTCCTTTGATATTTTAAAGCAAAAAAAAAAGTTTATGTTATAAATGGAAAAACTTAATGGTAAAAGCACCAGTCGGATAGGATTATTTCACATTTTGGAAGATAACCAGGCTTTCCGGGAATACATGCCAACCGTTGGAACAAAACTAGAACCTTGTTACCCACAGCGAACCAATGTGGGCCTAACAACCACGTATATCCTAATGTAGAAAGCAGGCATTTTGTAAGGAGTACCTCAAGGTGTCAAATATGTTTAAAAGTTGGTGTACTGTATCCTTCTGGTTATGTGTTATAACTTAAATAAGTTACAAGAAATATCAATTTGCCAATTGCCAAACGTGTAATCGATACGAACAAGCTATCTAAATGATTTTAACACCTTTGATTCGTTTTTTGTCGGATTGCATTGATTATCTGAAATAATAATTGCATGAAGTCTATACAAAAGAAAAATCTAATCAGATATTTTATTTTCGTGTCAAACACGTAGTATTCATAAAATCACGATTCATATATACCTTTGAATATAAAATGTGTCTAGCCAAAATGACTTATTAGACACGCTATAAGAACAATACAAATTTACCATATTCAGACATGTAATTCAATTAACCAGTCTTTGTAAAAGTCTAAAAACAAATGTGCTTGATAAAAAAATCGTTACTAGTAGCAGGACTATAATATTCATATATTATACCGTGTACCCCAACAGGGTAAGAGATATACAAGAGTGGTTGGGCCTATCCCTACCGACAAATTAGATATCCCCCACCCCATACCTGCACATATAATTATAATACATACTTTGATATGGGAGAAACATAGTTCTTCTTCTCCACATAAGAGAACGTTGGGTAGCTAATGTTTTTTTGGAGAACTAACTGGTTCACACATCACATATCTGAACTGTTCAAATTTGTTCATATCATTGAAATGAATTCATATACATTGTTTGCTTTCGTTAAAATTACAGATCTAAGATCATCATAAAATATACATTTCATTAAAAAATGATACTCGTTTTCTACATCATTGTTTCACAATTTATATAACCTATTATTGACACAGGAATCACAGGTCGGGCATGCCTACCTTTTGCAATTTCAAGGGGCAAAGAACCACATCTAAAGTTAAATAAAAATGATCTTTTCCTGGTAAAACGGGAGACACACCTGTGAAGGACGGGATAATATGATATCAAATGACATAAAAACTAACACATTTGGCACGATTTGTCGGATTGCGGTGATTATCTGAAAAAAACATTACATTCATGACGATATTTCTTGTCATGTAAACTTATTAATTATAGCATTTATTTGTCCATGCTGGGTTCCAAAATGGGTTGGTTGAACCTCCAGCAAGCATGACCTTCTATAAATCTACAATATCCGTCCGAGAAATTCAAACAAAATCTAAACACGAGGTGATCCCGATAAACATGCCAATATCACGAGTTAAACGGTTGTGAACTAACTAAACATCATGCTATCTTTTTTCGCGAATATAGAACATAGAAAGAGCGAAATCACCATAAAAGGCATACAAAATAGCGTGGTCGTACAAATAAATTCAGAGATCGTTAAATTAGCTTTACTTTTAAATTAACATTAAAATGTAAGATTTTATAGAGTAGTTTGATCCCGATAGACCGTCAATTCGAAAGCGTAACATCCTCTGTCAGACAGCAGGCCTAGGTCGATGTGGCTTGATAAACTATAGCAGATCAGGTACAATATGTGTTGGTCAGTAGGCAAGTCAAAAGCTTTGTGTCTTGGTTAATCGCCAGGTCGAGATCGTTCTGTCTTGGAGAACCGACAGGTCGAGGTCGTTCTGTCATGGTTAACAGAAAAGTTTAGATATATCTGTCATGGTTAACCGCCAGGTCGATATCGTTCTGTCATGGTTAACCGGCAGGTCGAGATCGTTCTGTCATGGTTAACCGGCAGGTCGATATCGTTCTGCCATGGTTTACCGACAGGTCGAGGTCGCTTTGTGATGGTTAACCGGCAGGTCGAGGTCGTTCTGTTATGGTAAACTTGCAGGTTGAGATTGTTCTGCCATGGTTAACCGGCAGGTCGAGATCGTTCTGTTATGGTTAACTGACAGGTCGAGATCGTTCTGTTATGGTTAACCGGCAGGTCGAGATCGTTCTGTTATGGTAAACTTGCAGGTTGAGATTGTTCTGCCATGGTCAACCGGCAGGTCGAGATCGTTCTGTTATGGTAAACTTGTAGGTTGAGATTGTTCTGCCATGGTTAACCGGCAGGTCGAGATCATTCTGTCATAGTTAAACGGCAGGTCGAGAGTGAGATCGTTCTGTCATGGTTAACCGGCAGGTCGAGATCGTTCTGTCATAGTTAAACGGCAGGTCGAGAGGGAGATCGTTCTGTCATGGTTAACCGGCAGGGCGAGATCGTTCTGTTATGGTTAACCGACAGGTCGAGATCGTTCTGTTATGGGAAACTTGCAGGTTGAGATTTTTCTGCCATGGTTAACCGGCAGGTCGAGATCGTTCTGTCATAGTTAACCGGCAGGTTGAGATTGTTCTGCCATGGTCAACCGGCAGGTCGAGATTGTTCTGTTATGGAAAACTTGTAGGTTGAGATTGTTCTGCCATGGTTAACCGGCAGGTCGAGATCGTTCTGTCATAGTTTAACGGCAGGTCGAGATCGAGATCGTTCTGTCATGGTTAACCGGCAGGTCGAGATCGTTCTGTTATGGTAAACTTGTAGGTTGAGATTGTTCTGTCATGGTTAACCGGCAGGTCGAGATCATTCTGTCATAGTTAAACGGCAGGTCGAGATCGAGATCGTTCTGTCATGGTTAACCGGCTGGTCGAGATCGTTCTGCCATTGCAAACCGGCAGGTCGAGATCGTTCTGTCATGGTTAAGCGGCAAGTCGAGATCGTTCTGTCATGGGTAACCGGCAGGTCGAGATCGTTCTGTCATGGTTAACCGGCAGGTCGAGATCGTTCTGACATGGTTAACCGGCAGGTCGAGATCATTTATTGTGACTTGGTCAACTACCTGAACACGATTCTTGATTTTCATCTTCCTGGTCTTAGTTATTACTTTGCACGTGCGTTTATTGATTACTTGCTAAAGAGGAAATAGTCAAAGTAATTTCTTAATTACATTATGTCTTGGAACCTGCTCATGACGAATGAAGAAGCTGGGATTGATTATGTAGCCTGTAGAATATGTCTGTGGTGAACTCTACACATATACACATCGGATGTTGCAGATCACAGTATATGATTTTGTCAACTCACACAAGTGCACTCCGACAATTTCAGAACAGTGCAAATTTTCAAAGAAGGTTGCAATGTCGCAGAAGTATGTTTACTGATATAAATTCTTCACATGAAACGCATAATGGATGGAATGTATAGTACAACATGCGAAGACTCGGCAATCGGATGAAAAGTTCTGTGTCATTCTTACAGAAGACATGCTAAGATTTACTGTAAAATGGAACTTAGAACCAAACTAGTGTTTTATCACATTCAATTTGAGAAAGGAATGTTATGTTGGATATTGAATATCAATCTTAATAGTATGACGTGTTTTAGTCATATTGCCAATATGTGACGTCAGAGGGCAAGTAAAAGAACAAGCGGGGAATATTAACTCTGTTTCCTCCTATTACGGCTTATACTTACTAGAGATATACGCACATTTCTTTAAAATGGCTGAAGTTTCGAGAACAACAAGTGTGTCAACCGACAACAACACGAACACCTTGGACTGGACACTCCTAATTCCCTCAGGCCTGGAACTGTGTGTTACAGTCTTGTTTCTCGTACTTGGAATAGCTTTGGTGACAACAAACGGGATTCTTCTGTGGCTTATAAGGCGCAAAAAAGTAGCGGCGAAATCTTTCAACAACAAAATGGCGGCCAGTCAAGCTGTTAGCGATTTACTACTTGGTTTGTTTATTACCCCGATGGAGGTCATACATCACGTTTTACCAGAGGCCAATGTGAATGAGTACATTTGTCTGGCACATCAAATTTCTATTCTACTCTTCCCATTAGTTTCAACGTTTCATTTGATGTTTGTTGCATTGGAGCGTTTCCTGAAAGTCGTACATCCATTGCAGGCCAGTAAAGTGGCTGTAAAATCTAAAGTCAAAGTTATCATTGGTTTCTGTTGGATATTGCCATCGGTTTTTGCGATGTTTTCATTTCTAGGATGGAATCGACTTCGGGAAGAAAAATTAAGATATGGAAGCACAGTTTCATTTACTCCACATTATAAGTATGTATATCAGACACCGTGCAGTCGACTAGAACACCTCCATTGTTCTTACATCAGCTTGTTGCTAACAATGATACTCTCTATGTATATAGGCGTGGCGGCCATGTACTTTCAAGTTGTCGTAGTAGCAAGGCGCAAAGTGGAACAGGCAGCAATGGCTTCAGACTGTGATATGAGAGAGGAAGTCAAGATATTATATATTCTACTGTGGTCGGCTAGTTATTTCGTTATTTCCTGGTGCCCACTAACTTCTGTGGTGTCCGTAGAATGTCTGTACGCTCCCACACCGGACATTCTATGGGTTCTAACGCTGGTGTTCGCGAATTGCAACAGCGTCATCAGTCCGATAGTGTATGGATACGGAAATAGAAACATCCGTGAATTCGTCTCGACTAAGATTCGTGGGAATAGGAGTCGTGTTACGCCTCTACATCCACGACAGTCTGGGGAACGGACCGTACTCACAGAGAAAACAAAGGTGCATGTTACAACGTGTGTTGTCATATATGAATAACAATAAACCATAAATAATTATTTCAAAACGTTACCAGGTAAGCTTCTGATTGGTGTCGTATGATTAATTACTGGTATGATGTAAGTTTGCTCTCGGATGATAAACAACCCCAATCTTCGGTATACTGAATGAGTATACTTATTTTAGCGGACATAAATGTTATTATGTTATTGCATTGTACAGGTAAGCGCATTGATGAATTGGCGCCGTCATAATAAATTTAATGGAAAACTTCATACAGAAACTTCAATCAGTGCAATCATAAATTAGCGTCGTATTTAATACTCAAATAGCTAAGGTATAGCAGAGTATAGTAGAAATGGATTGACACTAAAAATAAAGGGCATGTCTCGGATAAACATAGATAGCGGATTCATCCTGCACAACACACCTACATATATATATAATCCGCCTGAAGAAGCCCTAGAAGGCAGAAAGGCCGAGCGGACGATCAGAAAAAAATATGTTTTTTTTATTCTATATTTTCCTTCGCAAGGACTTATTTATTTATAATCTACTATATATATATATATATATATATATATATTTATAAACTACATTTTGAAAACGTTTATTTTAGAACAATGCATGTTTTTCAAAAAAGTGATTTCCCTAGATTTGGGACTTGTGAAAACCATGGCTACCACATCAAAAAAAACGCCAAAAAGTGCAAAAAAACATTATTTTTAACCCAAAATTTGACCAACGCAAGTAGTATATTTTTTCTCAAAACCTGTCTTAAATTAAATATCACCTACTCGGTAACAGAAATACTCACGTTTTAGCATAGTTCGTCAAACTGGATTTTTCACAATATTTACACATGTGCTGAGTACAAAAATAGACTACATGAAAACTAGCTTTTGTTGTGTAGACACAGATTTGTAAATAGCAAAAAATGTAGTCTCAAGCCAAATTCGTTTTTTTTTTTTTTTAAATGTGAAGCCCACATAGTCCAATTCATCATGTATATGCCAATTTTAGAGCTGTTTTTTTTTAAAGTTTTGATACATATAATATTACAGGGGTTATTCATTGTACAAAAATATCACCCATGGCCACCGTACGCTACTGTACGCTAGTACTGTTACCTAAGATTAGATTGGTATCAGTGTATTTTGTACAATTTTCCATTTAATCCTTTTTTTTTAAAGGCTCGTTTTGTCTAGCAAACATTATATTACAATATCCGATTTCTAAAAAACTTCGTTAGTGTGTACAATGTATCATTGTTATATATACAATTGTATGTGTTGCGTAATCAATTTTCAAACTCGAGTACCTATCTGTAAAGCGTTTTTATTGTACATATATAGTATATACGGTTTATCAGATGCAGTATTACATGTATGATGTGTCGTACATACGGGTAATGCTTTGAATATAAATTTTAAAAAAATGTAGAACATTGATTATCAACATATGACTTATTTTGAAGCATAACCATGGAAATGTATGTGAGCGTGTTTGCAAAAATAAAGTACTTAGGAAAGAAGTACTTGAACGAAAACTAAGCCGTTAACGTTTTGGCGTCAATGATATTCGCAGAAATGATTATAATATGCTTTTAACGAATATTATGTATAATGGAAAGAAGCGTTCTCGATAATTGAATTATTATAATGGAAATACGAATACTTTCACCGATGGAACATGCATTCACTTAAAGGATATAACGGAATGAGTTTCTTCTATACTTTCGTTGAAAAACGTTTCCGCATCAATAATATTTGCAGAAATAGATAGAACAAGAATGATCTTTTCAACAATATATATATACATGTACAATACTTTATCTGAAATCCTATTTATTATTATACCCTATCCAGAAAGACGGTACGGATTATGACATATTAACATTCTAGAGAGTGATGAAGCGTACCAGCCCGATTCTACCCACGTACGCTACATTGCACGTGCAACTGTCCTGCCAGCATCCCAGATACACTCAAACAGACGACGGAGTGGCCATGGATCGTGACACGTAAACATCGCATTTGGCATTGCTCGTTTTTCTGCACGTGGTCGATATGGTGTGAACATGGAAAAACACCAGAACATCAATGTATGCTTGGAATAATCATTAATCGTCGTAACCTTCATCCCATAGTGGCGGCGTGTGTGCCGTGACGAAAATAAGTGGAACGTAGACAAGCAAATGTATCACTGATTTGCTGCATTAGTAATCTTTGTATAATAAAGCATACCTTTATATTTCTGTGCTTAACAGGAACAACTTCTTACTTCGAAAACAAAGACTCCCGCTCGCAATAGATCCCATTTCTCAACTCATGTTTAGCTTTTTTAAATATTATAGAGCGACACTCTAGAATTTCGATCCAAATGAGATATTCTAAACTAAAGGTTGATTTTGTAATAAAAGATATATGTAAAACTTTGTTCGTTATATTTCTTTTAATGGGGTCGTGATTTCAGTGTTTTCGTCATAATTACAATTCAGTATAACTTTATGACCTCGGATACTCTAGCGAAACGGTTTTGTGTTGAAAAGGTTCACTTTGATCATACGGCAACAGTCTTCCAGAGAGGTGTATAAAAGACAGGAAAGAAGTAAAGAAAAAGAAGAAAGAGATAGAAACTGTCTTAATAACTATATGATATATGATTATAATAAGGGTAAATAGAAAGCATTGCTTTAACATACCAATGAGGTGTAACTGTCACATTGGGAAAATGAAAGCTATCGCCCTCACAGCGTCAATATGCAATGATGAAATCGATACTCAATCTCGATACGAAACAAACACCAACTGCGTATACGGGAACAGAAGTTGTGCCAAAATAAATGGATACAAAATCACGGAGCTCCTCAAAAATGGGGAAAACATATGTTCTGAAGGGGCTTACGTTTTCTTCAACAAATGTGGCACAAATCATGATACTAAGTTGTTATTAGTATCTCATTTCTGGATATCAGGTGAACGATACAAGGAGTTTAATGCAACTATATTAGAAAACCCTTGCTACGTTATGTACGAGTATTGGTCAATAGATAACACGAATTGAGTTTCACGTGAACGCAATACACTTTAATTATCTATTTATTTTGAAAGAATTAGCGTTACATAAGAAATACCTGAATTGCTGTTCCTGCCAGAAAAATCAAAATCAATTTTCTCTTTTATCGGGTAATGCATTTCTCTTTTATCGATTAATGAATTTCTCTTTTATCGTCGACAAATGAATATTACTCTGAGTCGTACTTTAAAAAAACAAGGTTTTACCAGTGAACGTGAGCATTGCGTCTGGTTTCAAAAACATTTTGTCTTTTTTTTCAGGCTTTTTCAGATCAGAGGCAATGCCTGAATGTTTCTCTCCGACTTATTTCGTTTCGTGCAAACATATAACACTAAATTTAACACACACACCAACGGCTGTGTCTAAATAAACGTTACATTGTACATGCAGAATCGTTTACCATCTTAATACGTCTGACACAAGGTGTCCCCGGCGTATACCGTTCACACACCATGACACTGGAGAAGTAATCACGATGAAACCGTCTGTGTACACATTTAGTTCGGAAACAGACTAATTACATATTCACATTTAGTCATACCTGCCCACTACAGGCATGTTTTTACAATTTAAAAGGTTTTATTTATATACTACATAACGGATCATTTTCACAGTAACATTATATTCTTGATTTTCGTGAAAGACGGAGACAACAAATTCAACGTTTACGGTATTTTCTATGTATATAGATCTAGATGTGTAACTGGTCCGTTGTGATAAGCAAATTTAACAATACGAAAATAAGTCATCGCCAATTCAAGTGGTTTAATAGTGCTCGTTAAAGGGTACCACAAATCAAAAAAAAAAATCGAAACCTTTAATATCACAAACCTAAGCATATTAAATTTGAAAACAGTAGTTTATTCTTTGTATTTTTAGAATAAATAAATATTGTGACTTCAAAATATGCCGTATATGAAAGGAGATAATGGTGTTCCAGTTCAACACGATTACTATATTTTGGAATATTAGTTTTAATCATATTTTATTGTCGTGTGCGGAAACTTTACTCGTGTAAATGGTTCTATAACAAGTTTTGTCAAAACACAATTTTACCTTTTTTTTTGTAAGCTGTCTCTTTTATAGAGTTAGCTACAAAAGACAAGTTAGTGAACATCAGGGATACAAAACATAGCTGCCAAGTATACAATGTTTCTTTGAATATCCTTTAGTCGGAGCCGATTTGCGCCGGTTTGTTTAGGGGATAACCCTAGGCCTACTGTATTTTGAAATTTGCGGCGGTATATAGTGATTATTCTGTCGCAAATTGAGTTTTACTGGTGACGCGGAGTACAGAAGGTTATCCCCATTCTAACTCATATCAATCAAAACCACCGAAAGAAACAACTATTTTAAGATATTTTGAGTGTTTTCTTCAAATTTTTGATCTCTCTATTCAAAGTGAGGCGAATATTCAAAATTTCAAGACGTTTCAGGGTCAGTCGGGGTCAACGACGTCATTAACAATCGCCATCCGGCCTTCATATGCAAATGAGAAATTTGCGAACGGTACATGTATATCGTGGTTTTACTGTTGCAAATTATTTTGATTGACCAATCAAATGCCGTGTTACACCTCAAATGAATTAGAACTAAGGATTAGATATTAATACATACATACCTTTTTGCCTTAAACAAGCAATTGTATTTTAAAAGATTGAGGGTAAAGACACTAAAGTGTCGTCTGATCAAACGTTCTCTCTATTTCTTGGTTTAATGATAACTCTCACTTATTTTGTTTACATTAGGGAATCTGAATAATATACTAGCATTGCCTTGCGTGCGAAAGATATAAATAATATATCAAAATAATCCTGATGTATTGTACAATAATTACGTATCAAATTTGTATATTAAGTTATATCAATCAATCTAATTATTGATTTCGTGTTTATTTAATTAAGTCATATTGATGGAGATAATGACAATGCCAGTCACGTGATAAGTTGTAACGTACAGACAAAACGTATAACTACGTGTGAAACATTAAGGTCATAGAAAGTATATTTCCCTACGGCTGACGTCATCATTGACGTATTTGCTGACCACCCACACGACCATACGCTCATCCTCCTCTGAGTAATTTTATCGATCCCGGGTTTTCTTTCCCGACTCCCCAGCCGTGGGGACTGAATGGGTCGTTGATATAACACTTAACCCCAGGAAACAGCAGGGCAAACTGGCAGGTATCTGTTTATTAGCTCTATTGACTATTTGTTTAAGGGTCATACATAATATTTTACCTAAGATAAGAAATCAAAACTATGATGAGGATTGGTACAACACTCGCGTGCTGAACGCACATGCTGGTGAAAACACGTGTTTTTAGATGAAGATATTTATCCCGACAGGTTCATCAATATATCTAACAACACATACGATATGAGGATATTTCTTCACGAGAATGCTTTCGAAATTGACCATCGTATTCTCGATTCATGTCGAATCAACCTTGTATAGGTGCATTTCTACCTACATGTTGTATCTCCGAGAAAGAAAAAACAAAAAAGGTTTTAAAGTCAATCAATGCAAAGTTATAATTTTCAATTTCGAACGGGATTGTCTGCAACTGGTTTAACGCGCATTAGTATTTGTCCGCAATCCAGTTGAAGGTTATACTATCACAATGTACTTTAACATCTATAGTCATATACGTTTTCATGGAGTTTGATTGTAGACATCATTATCATATACAGTTTATAAACAACTCCGTAAATAGTCCTTTCATTTGTGCAGGTTGCCTAGAAAAAAACATTACTGTATGTTATAGAAATATAACCACAATTGGAAGATTTTGAAGTGGTCTTTTAGCACAGGTTGTTTCTTGTATGTATCTGAGGTGGTTTTTTAACCACAGGTTGATTCTTGTATGTGTCCGAGGTGGTCTTTTAGCAAAGGTTGCTTATTGCATGTATCTGAGGTGGTCTTTTAGCACAGGTTGTTTCTTGTATGTATCTGAGGTGGTCTTTTACCACAGGTTGTGTCTTGTATGTATCTGAAGTGGTCTTTTAGCACAGGTTGTGTCTTGTATGTATCTGA